GCCAGTCTGTGCTTTTTTTCCCTCTCTCTCTCTTAACAACCTAAGCAGGGGATGGTCTCCGCTCCTGCCCCCAGCCCCCTCGCGGCCCTGAGAAGAAAGACTGCGCCCAGCTCTGATCTCTAGGAAGCCTCCTGCAGCCCCGCCCCCGCCATGTCGACCCGGTACAGAGAGGAGGGCATTTCAGTCCCGCTTCTCTTGGCAGAGACCCTTGCCCAGTGGACAAGTGAGTTGCCAGTTGGGCTCCTTTTCTCTCCTTCTGGTCCCCAGGCCCGAGCCTGCGCCAAGCCAGAGCGTTCTAGGAGCCTCTCTGCACCCATCTCCTCTAAGCAGAAGCTACTGAGCCTTTGGGAAAGCACGCGGTGCCCCCCACCACAGCGAGGATCCCCGCACACGCGGTAGCCTCCCTGTGTCTTGCCTGGAGGCTAGACCGCAGGAGACACATTCGGGGCACTTCTTGTGTGCACACCAACTGCCCCGGGGGTGTGAGGAAGGAGGGAGAAGGAAAGAAGAAAAAAGAAGATTCTAGATCCTTTCTTGCTCCTCCTACTCCTTCTCCCTGACCCCTTTCAATCTTTCTCCCACATTCTGGTCTCCAAGTTTTTCCCAGAGCAGCCAAGCTATAGGAGAAGCAGGTCCCAGAAGAGTGCCAAGGTCTTGCCAACTGTTACTTAGTGGACAATGGGAGCTCCAGAGAAAGTTGCAGCCCAGTGGAGAAAAACTGTTTCCTGCCAAGAACTTTCTCCCAGTGGGTCCCAGTGTATCCCTCCAGGCTCTTTCTGGATTGGACTCACGCCGTGGCTTTGCAGTGGGTGTAGACCTCACCTTTGCACTGGTTTTTGGTTGGTTTGTCCCCCCCTCTACCTCTTCCTCATCTGGAGCGGTGGCACGAAGGTCTGGGCTCCAGCTGACCGTGTTTTGTGCAGGCTAAGGATGTTGTGAGGTTTCGGTGCAGACAGCAAAATGGCGGCATCTAAACCAGATGTGGCTGTGACAACAGGTGCTAAAAGGAAGCTACCGGCCCCAGAGGATTCTGATTCCTGAGCTACCAGGCCCACCTAGCTGGGCACCATCTGAAGCTAATGGCACAAACCACAGTGCAAGTGTCCTGACCAGTAAATAACCCTTCTCAGTGCCCAATTCCTGCATTTTGATGTTGGAGTTCCTGGCATTCCCTTCCTGCACCAAGGAAGTCCTGAAGGAACATTCCTCAGGAGGTCATTGAGAGCCAATGCAAGAGCAGGGTCCTCCCAAGTCAGTGGCTGGTGAGAGGTCCCATAGTAGCAGTGACAGAGAAACCTTTTCTGCCTTTTGAATCAGTGACTGGTCACTTTTAAGTCAGTTACACACAAGTGCAGTGTCCATGTTCAGGTCTTGGAACGCAGTTGACTCCACTTCTTAACAGTGAGGAAAATCTTGCTAATTTTGGGGCAGGGGATATTTCTAGAAAGTAGAATCAGAAGAGGTGTCTGTGACTTATTTAAACCCCAGCAAAACTGAAGATTAGGCAAGCAGTGGTTAATTTAAAAATAGTTGCTACTTGAATTCAGAGATACCCAGGTACCTGAAATCTTTTTATTTTTCCGCCAGGGTAGGGGCCTTAGCAGGAGAGGGCAGAGCAGCAAGTAGAATACGTTTTTATGCTTCATTATAAAGTGGAACAAAACCTCAATATACCAAAAACTTAAGCTGTGACAAAGCCCAGCCTTTTCCTTTTGGAGCCTGTAGATATGTTTTCTAATTAGCATCATTTCCTGATTTTTCATAATCTTGTTTCTCAATTATATAAATACAAGTTGATTGCTTGTGCAATCAAAAATAAAGAGATGCACATAGCAGATGGGAAAGCTTTGCACATGCTGCTTCGTGTGTGTGTGTGTCCTGAGTGGATATTTGTCAAAGAAATCAAATAGGGGTTATGTTGTACATACAGCATTGTGGCTTCGGAGGTGCATGGTAATAAACATGAAAGGGCAAGGAGTTACAGTTTTGTGTTGACTCTATGTTTATGAGAGATTTCTTCCATCTGTGTTGCCTTTCCGTGTCTCCCTCCCCAGGGTGATTTTTCCACATTTCTCATGACACACTTTCTCCAGGAAGTTTTCCTGAGTCCATTCTGGTCCTTCACAAATGGCAGTGTGACTTCCCATAAACATCCACACACAGGCTGTCTGATGTGAATGTAGTGATCCTATGCACTCCACACAGGGCCCTTTGCTTTCATTTTCTTTTCTTTCTTTTTTCTTTTTTAACAGAACTACCCAGTGATGAAGGCTACTGCAGTAAGTAATTCCTTGAAGAACCTAGAAGGCCTAGGAGATATCCCAAACGCCGCATATTTGGGTTACACTTACCCCTGGTAATTGGAGTTAACCATCAGCAGTACGGACAGAAATGGACATAGTCAGCCCCCAACACGTATACATGCTCATGTCAGATTTTCCTCCCATCTCTTACACTCAAGAAAGAAATGAAAAACAGAGAAAACTCTGGCAAAATTTATTATTGACTGAAAAGTGTGGTTTAATGGTAAAATTTTCTCCTTTATCAGCTCTTTGGTTACCTAAGGGAACCAAAGGTTTTTCTCTTGAATGATTATAAAGTTGTCTGATTAGGTGAAAGTTGCACATGTAGTGCTCCATCTCATTTTGCAACAACAACAACAACAACAACAAATAAATTAATTATTGATGATTTTTTTAAAAGATTTGGTCAAAATTAAACACCAACATGGGCCTTGAATTCATTGTGCTTCCAAGAGGACCCTCTCAGAAAGGAGAGACTTCACTGGCTTCTTTTTCTTATTCATGTCATGGCTTTCCGATATCAACAAATATACTATTCTTATCGAGCTTGGGAAGAACTTTTCAAAGGAACTGCCATCTGATTTATGAACAAACATAACATTTTAAGATCGATGACCAATGATGCTTCCCGTCTGTTCTTTCATCGTTCAAACAGCTGCTCGTGAACAAATGACTGAGTAATCTTTTAATGATTGAAAAAGTGAGGACAGCTTCAGTAACGTATCACGGGAAAATTGCCAAAATATTTTATAGCTGTATCTCTTACTTGTTTAATGTATATATTTTTAATCTTTTGTGTTCCAAAGCATCAAGCATGGTGCAAGTAGTAGATATTCCATTAACATTTATGGGCTAAATCAATTTGCATTGATCTGAATGGTTTTCTATTCATTGACTCATTTGGTCTAATAGCAGGCTGCTAGCTATTAATTTATTTTTTTAAAGTGAGGAAAACTAAAATCTGCTCAAGGTCACAGAAAAATCAATAGTGAAATCTCGACTGTATATTCCTGAAATCTCGAAGTATATTCCTTTTTTTACATTATATTAGTTTCAGCTCTCCATGATCCCTGTGTACATAGATGAATATAATTTAAAGTTCTTGGGAAATATTTGGATTATATAAAACCACATACATAAAATAAAGATATAAAAATAGCATCCATTTAACAATTGCTTTATAATTTGAATTTCCATTGACCTAATTCTAGAGGAATGTGTTTGAAAACCAAAAAGATATATAGGTACTTTGAAGCAAGAACGATGTCATAAATACCATTATCCTTAAAACAGCATCCTGTACATTTCCGGGATGTGAGCAATTGCTAAAGGTCTTCTGTCCTACCTTGTCATTTGGTCAATGAACAAAGGATTTTGAATGGAAGTGGAAATAAGCTATATGTTGGAGTCAAGGTATTACATAAGGAGAAATGAAAATGATCTTTACAAAGTTAAAGCATGTGATTCTTCTATTTTAATTCTAACCAACCATGTGACTTTGAGAAGGTCACTAATTTCTCCCGAGAAATGTGCAACCATGAGAACTGGCATCTTCCCTTTTGTGACTTCTTAGGTGGTGAAGAGGTACCAGCCAGGCAATGCAGCTGAAAAGACTGTGCAACCTGTCCCTTTGTACACACCAGAGTCAGTTTGCTTTATAACATTGTATCACCAATTCAAACATCATTAGTTCACATAGTGAATACCCCAATAGATGGGGACAGTGTGTCTTTTCCTGAAGGATGTGTTTTCTGATTTTAAAGAAAAATGTAAAGGCAAACAAAGTTTTTTAAAAAGCAAATATAGGAATTAGTCCCGTATTATTTGCTTTTTCTGCTCCGTTGGGAGCTTTGGGGTAGTATCAGTGTATGTTCTTTTTACATAACCATGTGACTTTACCTTGCGCTTAACTCCACAATCCCTGTCCAATTAGACCTCAGACAACCCGTGTAAACCTTGGGTTTGCTCACCTACCTCTTGGCAGAGTGAGGCCCGTGCAATGAGTGGAGGTGGACGACCCCACCAAGCCAGGTCCTCGTGCACTCAGAAAGCGGGACTTGGAGGGAGAGGGCCCCCCAAAGGATCCACTGCACTGTGTGACGGCCCGGTTAGGTTAAAAGAGGCATTCCTTCACCTCTGCAACCAGGAGCGCCTTTAGCGCAGACGAGGCGTTTCCGAGTGCAAGGAAACAGTTGCCATAGCATTTCCCTTCTCCGTTTCTGTCTCCTCCCCCCCCCCCCCCCCCAGAGCAGCAACAATTTGCGCTCTCACGATTTTCGTTCACGAAGCAAATGCATTTGCAGAAGCCTGGACTCCAGGGAGGTGGTAGCCCCAGGCGCGTAGTAACCATACCGCGTAAGGAGATGTAGTCTGTGGGCGCCGTTAAGTTTCTCAGGACAGACTGCAGAGAGAATCTAAGTGCCCCTTCATCCCATTGGTCCTCCGCACAAGCCGAGCCACCAGCACCGCTGCCGCGCCAGCCGAGGGTTCTGTAGCACTCCCTGGCCGCGCAGCCCTCTCCCTCCGCAGTGCACGGCTGGTGCACCGAGGCCCCGCCGCGCCCCGCACGCGCGCCCCCTCTCTTGGCCCGCCCTCCGCGCGCTCCAGCCCACTCCCGCCGCGACTTTGAGGGATTCCCTCCCGGGCGGCCTCTGCAGCAGCAGCACCGTCGGCCTCGTTCGCCGCGCCGCCGCCAGCATGGAGCTCCGAGCCAGGGCCCTTCTGGGCGGCCACACACTTGGAGTTCTCCTGGTGCTGTTCCGTGAGTAGCGGTCGGCGGGAATACGCTCTTGGCGGAGGATGGAAGCGGCGCAGGGGGAAACCTCTGGAGCCTCCCTGTTTTTGCAGATTATTTTTCCTTCCCTCATTATTCCAAGGAATCTGGCGAGGGTCTGGAGGGGAGTAGGATAGGAATGAGGGCTGCAGGGGGAGGGGAAGACCTTTCTAGCGGGTGGCAGGAATTCCCTGGAGAGCCACACACTTGTGTGGCACACCCTAACCCCAGCGCCAGACTGGCTTCCCGAGGTCAGAACTGGCAGGAATCAATGAGGGTAGAATTCTAAGGTGCAGGTGAGAAAAGTCAGCCGCATTGCAAACTGGTGGTGATGATGATGATGATTAAACCTCTTTGTATTGGGCATTAACAGCAGTGGGATCGAGTTGAGGAGCGCTGGGTCAGACAAGTGGGTCTCCGCGCGCGCAGCCGCGAGCAGGGAACTTTGTCACCCCAGCCCGCAGACGCCCGCAAAGCTCCGGGTGCGGGAGACGCGTGGGCTCCCCTGAGCCCTGCGCTGATGACGGGATTCCCTCCCCCCTCCCCCCGGCTTGTTTGTTCTGCAGATACATCGACTCGGATCGTGGCCGAACAAGAAGTGGAGAATCTCTCAGGCCTTTCCACTAACCCTGAAAAAGATATATTTGTGGTGCGGGAAAATGGGACGACGTGTCTCATGGCAGAGTTTGCAGCCAAATTTATTGTACCTTATGATGTGTGGGCCAGCAATTACGTAGATGTAAGGAACCTTTCCATCCTGCTAGCTTGCTCCTAAGGGCTCCAGGGCGGAGGGCACCGGCCCCGGAGTCTCAGCGAAGACCTGGGTCACCCGCCTTTCCCTCCAACACCCCAGCAGGCTGTTCCCGAATGCTGCATGGGGGCTCCGGCTTGCAACGCCTTCTGCTCGCCCTGCCTGCTTTCCAAGTAATCGCCCCCTTTCTCTACTTCCCTTCCGGCGGGGTCTGCACGTTGAGTATATAACCGCATGTGCCCGGACTTGAGAGCGCGCGTCCAAGCGTGCACCCCAGAGTTGAGACGCGCAGCCCTTCACAGTGGCCCCCTCCATCCCGGGGGGCCGGGCGCGCTGAGAGGACGCGGGGCGTCTGTGTTCCCAGCTGATCACAGAGCAGGCAGACATCGCGCTGACCCGGGGAGCGGAGGTGCAGGGTCACTGTGGCCACAACGAGTCGGAGCTGCAGGTGTTCTGGGTGGATCGCGCGTACACGCTCAAATTGCTGTTTGTGAAGGTAACTCGAAGGCGGTGAACCCGGCTCTCTCGGGAGGGTGTGGCCGTGGGTACTCCCTGGGTTTCTGGGATCCCAGGAGCAGTGAAAGGGCGGCTGACACTACAACTCTCCCGCAGGAAAGTCACAACACGTCCAAGGGTCCCGAGGCCACGTGGAGGCTGAGCAAGGTGCAGTTCGTCTACGATTCCTCCGAGAAAACCCACTTCAAGGACGCCGTTAGCGGTGAGTGCAGCCCCGCGGGGCTGGGGAGGAGCCGCTGGCGGCAGCCCTGGTGCAGTCCGGAGGACGGATTTTTGGAAAACCAGCAAGCTTTTGTGTTCCCAGTATCTGTCGGTCTTGGGTTGTACTCCGGCGAAGGAGACAGAAGCACTTGGAGTCCTGTGGATTATATTACTGCACAAGGGACCCGGGCCGAGGGCCAGCCAGTCGGTGAGACCCTGGCTGAGACATCCCTTGAGGGTGTGTGGTCCCCTGGCTACTGGACGATGACCTCTCCCCATATGGGCTTCAAAGGAGCGAGGAGGACAGCTTAGTTTGTCTGTCAGCAATCCAGCTCCTGTTTTGTTTTGTTGTTGTTTTTTTTTTTTTTCTGCCGTAGGACTGCAAGGGCCCAGGACTTGCCCTTGTGGGAGAGGAAAGCCTGCGTTCCAGCACAGGGCGGCAGCTGGCTCCACCCAGCTTTCCAGTCCCCACCAGCAACCCCTTCAGAGTGTATTTTCTGTGCCTTATATTTTTGTGCCCATCAACAGTAAGCAACTCACCCAGATTGTTCAAAAACAGTAGCCAAAGAGGGACATTCATCTGCAAAGTAACAATGCACTTCTCTCTCTCTGTCTCTGTCTCTCTGTCTGTGTGTGTGTGCGCGCGCACGCGTGTGTGTGTGTGTGTGTGTTGCAAGCACCATCACAGGCCACGTTTACATGCAATTTGTGAAGTGCCTACCTCACTCACTACGAGGTCCTCCCTCACTCAAGTAGCAGAATTGGGAAGGGATTTGTATTGAACAGAGCCTCATCATCCCCTTTTGTTGCTGCAGAAAAAAAAAAAAAACCGCAGGCTCTTCTCTTTTCATCAAAATTCACATTCAAATATCCCTCCCCCCTTAAATTAACCAAAAAAGTTAAATTTAAAAGGGGCGGGGGTGGAGTGCAAATGTAAGCCACAAAAAGAGAAAAGGTGTGTAGACGTCCAAAGGGTTTGTCTGTGGACAGGACGTCCACCTGGAGTATCAGGGATTGGCTAAGCTTTGTGAGGCAACATCAGAGGGACCCAGGGAGGCACATGTCAAACCACATCAGTATCCTTGCTACGTCCCTGCCATTTCCAACCTAAGGTTTTGCTCAGAGCAGAGGAGTTGATTTGTTCAATATCGCTCCCTTCTTGTATGAAGAAATTCCAAATTGGTATCTAGTGAGTGCTGTGAGAGAATGGAGGTGTTTGTCCTTGGTTGTCTTTTGGTGGCCTTGATGGAGTCCTGGTCTTGAAGAATCTGGAAGGCAAGAAGCAACTCTCTGGCACACCGGGTTGCAACAATGAGATTTTCTGCCAACAAGAGGGCTCTAATCCTTCCTTGGACCTTTGTTGCAGCTGGGAAGCACACGGCCAACTCGCATCACCTCTCTGCCTTGGTCACCCCAGCTGGGAAGTCCTATGAGTGTCAAGCCCAGCAGACCATCTCTCTGGCCTCCAGTGACCCCCAGAAAACAGTCACAATGATCCTGTCCGCAGTGCACATCCAACCCTTTGACATCATCTCGGATTTTGTCTTCAGCGAAGGTGAATTGGTGATTGGTGGTGGAGGGAGCGGAGAGGTGGCAGGAAGGGAAGGGAAATGAAGAGCTGCCAAGAGGATGGATGGGCAGAGGAACCTGTCAGGATCACACTAGCTTACACTCCAGGCTTATGTGACTTTCCCAGGATGAAAAGCAAAATGAGCTGAGTTCATATCCACCTTTGTTCATGAATCTTTCTTTCTCCCTTCCTCCTTCCAGTTTTCAGCCCTTTCCATTCCTTCTCCCCTTCCTCTTCTTTCTCCCTCCACACTTACCCAATGCCCATTTTTACTAGACTTGGGCAAGTTGCAAAAGTGTGAATTTACTTCATGCCCTACTCCTGGGTGTGTGGGAAAATTCATTTATTCTTTCCTTTTCCTCATTTGGAGAAGCTTATTAAAGCGATTTGACATTCTGTTGATTCCTAATGGTCTGAAAATGGGAAGAGATTCTGATCCCTTTGTGCATGCCTTCCTGTGGCTGGGCATCCTGGTTTGCAGGCAACTGTTCAAGATCATGGGGCAGTTGGGAACCTCCACCCGGGTCCCACATGATCACACTCCAGGGGCTCCAGCTTTCATGAAACATGTCTTCTACTCATCCTGTGAGAAAAAAGAAAATGCACCCCTGTTACTCCACTCCATGATTGTTCAAAAAGGATAGAGGATTCCTAACTGTCCCTGAGAGAAAGGCCTGCTTCCTGCTCATCTTTGTATTTTTGGCACCAAGCACACTACTTGGCACATGGCAGATGTCAGTTGATGTTGGATTCAATTAGGAGAGAGGGATTTACTCCAGCAGGGCCACATCTAGTTATTCACTTTAATATGCTTTCTACTGAATTATTGATGTTAATATATTTTCTACAAACTTGCAGTCTATATTCTAAATGTCAAGATCTTAGCATTAAAAAATAATCATTTTAATTATGGATACGGTTGTAAAAGGTAATAGTCAATTTACTTCTCAAACTGAAATTATTAAATATAATTAGACATGTAATCAGTTATTGACCATGAGTTTATGATGAGAATATTAAGGTATGTAGTACCATAAGTACTTTTGAGTTTAAAAGGTATTCTAAATATTCATGAATGACTTCTTGTTTTTTCACCGGTCAGTTACTAAACTAGGTACTTCGTTGCTTCTTTATTACTCTATTTCTGGGACTACAGCACTGGCACTGCAGTTGCTTATCCTAACCCAGTCGGGGCTATTTCTCAGCTACTGCCTATGCTGGTCTTCAAACAGAAATCAAATCAGACAGCCTGGTAAAATGACATACCATGTAAAGATTCAACGAAACATCAGAACTACATTCCTAAAGATCAGGGATATCGATTACATGTAATTAATGCGATCTTATTTGAGAAAGCAATTTCTAAATGGCACTTAAGGTCCTCAGTGGGGAAGAAGGCCAGGTACCTTGGAGAGTTCTGAGCTTGCACGACTGCTTAGATGCAGATGCAACAGATGCAAGCAAATTGCACTTGTCTCACCCAGGCTTTCCTGGCTAATAACCAGGATGTTCTCCCTCATGTGGTGCCCTGGGGCTTGGGCTGCTGGGAGGAGGCAGCTTCATTCAGAGCCACTCATTGGATCGATGTGTCTTTGTGTGGCAGGATTTCTTTTGTTCCTGGCTCCTCCCATCTGTGACTCTGAGCACCTGCCCCCTCCTTCCACTGTTTCCTAAGAGCTATTATATTCATTTGTTGGAATCTGAAATTTTCTTTTGGATATCTTTTCAGGGTCCAACAGTGGGGCTCTGCCCTCAGACAAGGAACTAGTGTGTTGCCTTTGTGAGTGCTTGTGGAAAGGGGTGGCAATCTGGTCATACATTTACACAGGCACTATCTGACTGTGTGTGTGTGTGTACATGCATTTGGCTGAGTCTTTTGTGTGTCTGCATGGCTGTACAGTGGCCATAATCCACCACTTGCAAAAGGATTTCCCATGAAGAGTCTGCTGTCTCTGTAAGGGAGTCCTAACTGGCTTTGCCCGCATCTTCCTAGTTAGTACACATTATGAGAAAAATAAGGAAAGACCAGTGAATTGCGTTAGTGGGCACAAAGGGGGCTGGAACAGTCTGTGAGAGCTGATGTCTTCATTACACACGTCTGTCTGGTGCATTAGGCTTGGCTGCTGCACTGGTCCCCAGGTGAAAGTGTGTTCATAGTCAGCTGCATTGTGCACGACTGGGGTGATATTGTCTCTAGAATCAGTTTCAGTGGATCAGGCAGCGGGTTTAAAGATGCTGTGTCCTAATAAGGTTTTGAGTAATGCTGCAGTCCGTGAACTACTGCTAGCATGGGTGGTGGTATGTGAAAGATCAGAAGCAAGCAGCAACATGCAAGCCTTATTCAAAGGTGTCTGGACGGGACTACATAGAAATGGAAAACCCGTATAGCATGATGTGCACTTAAGGAGACATGGAACCCAGCCACTGCTATCCAAAAGGTGAACAGGGAAAGTGAAGCTTTAAGAGAGAAGGCGTTAGCAAGGGGATCGTTACATGTAGAAGCTGCTGTGTTCGAGCCAGGAGGTCTCTGTGGGTTGATAGTTGCTGCTGGCCTTAGAATTATGGGGCTCTAACTTGCCAGTGATTGACTTCAGTTTGGTGACGCTTCAAGGTATTTGCTAGGTAGGAATTCTCTAAATGATTAAAAATGTGTTTATTCAACCTGTTTTAAAAATAATTATATGTGTAAAATTTTGAGTTATATTTCAGTAGGCTTTTGAGCTGGTAGATTTTGCCTGTGGTGGACATTCACAACCTATAGTTCATCTCACTGAGGCTATCTGTGGCTCGTTTCTATGCCAAATATGAAGGGCGTGCAGTTTGTGGAAATGGACTTTGAAGTTAAATTTATTTTGGTGCAAAATATTTGAAAGTCGTGCCTATGAGGATTCGTCAATGTCTAAGGGGAAATGTATATTGTGATAAATCTATGCATAGATTTCAGAATCTTTTGCATCAATATAAACTTGTCTTTCAATTCTATTTTCCATGAACTTTTCTAATAACCCTAATACAAAGTGTGTAGCAACCATCACTTGCAGTTCGAGGAGCCAAGCCTCTCAGTTGGGGTTAATGTGCTTGTCACTGCACAGACGAATCACAGGGAGTCCCTTTGGGTCTCAGGCGGTCGCTGGCAGGGATGGGATTGTGTTGTCACTAAGAACAAACTTGCTTGAATATTTGAAAGGCTTGAGTTAAAAGAAACTTTTATGTATAATATAAAACAATATAATAGAACACAAAGACTGTCATTGTTCTCATTTATTTATTTATGTTTAAAAATGTATTTATTTTTATTGGAGAGTCAGATATACAGAGAGGAGGAGAGACAGAGAGAAAGATCTTCCATCCACTGATTCACTCCCCAAGCAGCCACAATGGCTGGAGCTAAGCCAATCCGTAGCCAGGAGCCCAGAATCTCTTCCAGGTCTCCCACATGGATGCAGGGTCCCAAGGCTTTGGGCCATCCTCGACTGCTTTCCCAGGCCACAGTAGGGAGCTGGATGGGAAGCGGGGCTGCTGGGATTAGAACTGATGCTCATATGTTGGATTTGGCGTGTGCAAGGCGAGGACTTTAGCCACTAGGCTACAGCACAGGGCCCTGTTCTCTTTTATTAAAGATTCAGGTTTAACAGGTATTTCAAGGACTCCCACCTAGAGGTTGATCCCTGTGTTCAGTTTCCAAGCGGGAAAACAAACCCAAGAGAATGATATTAAGATTTCTTTTTACAATGGAGCAAGTGAAATTGCTTGGTGAGGTCTGTGCTCTGGCATCCTGCCTTGGGCGTCACACCTGTGTTCTTAGCCTCTTGGAGTCCCTACATTCATGGGTGTTTTATTATGAATTTTAAGGGATTCACAGGGAAGTACCATCTGAACTTTGCCTTACCCAGGCCTATGGGAGATTATGTTTTAGTGGAAACGGGCCATCACCTGCTGTCTCTTGGCGTGTGTGTTAGCAGAAAGCTGGAAGCAGAAACAGAGCCAAAACCCAAACCTTGGCGCCCTGACTTGGGGTGAGGGCATCCCAATTGGCATCTTAACCCCTGTACCAGATGACTGCTGCCTTTCTAGGGTTTCCAACATCCATCGGAAGAGAATGGTCTGCAGCCATGTCCATTATATACAAGTAGTGGAATAAATGAACTTTCCCTGAGTTTCTTTGTCTTTGAGTTCAAGAGAGCAGACCGCTTGCCTCTTGGCCCTTCTGCCAACCCAGTGCTGTTCATTTGAGTGCAATGAAGGTCTTTTGTGGTTTGTCTGAGGGAGTTAGTAAAAACTTTAGGATGCTGTGGTCATCAAAGAAAATGGGATAAGCACGCATTCAACAACCAGAGCCTAAGCTGCCCCATGGACACAGTGGATGCACCAGGTTTATGGTGTAGAGAACCTTGGTAGGCTTTTGGAAGTGGACTACAAATTAACTCTTCGACAGGTGATCTTATGGATGCTTATTGCCTCTTCCAAACATAGTCCACTTATCTTGGGCCCCAGTCATGTGTACTCTAGAATTAAGACACAGGGACCCCCATATCCATTGCATCTGAAGCAAGACATGGTCTGACCCAAGCCAAGGGACTCTTCTTCTTGGTAGAAATCTTCCATAATCATTTTTTTGTATTCCTTTTGTTGCATAGGATTTAAATTGGGAGTGGAGTCCACAGAACTTGTGGAGAAAGTTAAGTTCTATAAATTCCAGGGAGAAAATTGGCATCTTTATTTTTGTTCAGCTCTAATATTTAGCCATTTCTGATTACAAACATAGGTAGCAGACAGCAGTTCTTATGAACTTGTCACCAATAGAAAAGAGAGATTTTTACCTTCGGTTCAGTGTGATAGGTTAGTGTCTAAATCCTTGCCTTGCATCCACTGGGATCTCATGTGGGCACCAGTTCATAGCTTGGCTGCTCCACTTCCCATTCATCTCCCTGCTTGCATCCTGGAAAAGCAATCAAGGATGGCCCAAGCCTTGGGACCCTGCACCCGTGTGGGAGACCTGGAGGAATCTCCTGGCTCTTGGCTTCGGATTGGCTCAGCTCTGCCCATTCTGGCCACTTGGCAAGTAAACTAAGGGACCAGAAGATTTTTCTTTCTGTATCTCCTTCTTTCCCTAAATCTGGCTTTCCAATAAAAAATAACTAAAAAAAAAAAAAAAAAGAAATTTTTATTTCATTAGTTTGTGCTGATCTTGCAAAATATCATTTATGCATCTTATCGGTTTTCAGTTATGGTCAAGATATGTATGCATTAGTAAAGAACTGCATCTATTGCTTTATCCGAAATTATTTTAAAATATTTTGGTATTTTGAAACGGATTGATATCATTTTCCTTTGTGAAGATTTATATTTTATTTTGTACATTTGTAAGTAATATTTTAAAGAGACAGCATAGTTTTTTCATCACTGCCACAAAATATTATGACATGCGCTTTAGTGGATCATGAGAATCCTTATTTTGAGTGAAATAAAATAGAATGCAGCATGCATTATTAAGCAAAGAAAGCAAGAATAACTTGTTTGTGAGGCTTGTGTTTTAGTGACATGTTCGTATCTAGGGTCGAAGATGCCATACTGTGGTTTTTTTCTTAAGGGACATAAACATTGCTTTAAATCTGGGGCTATGAATATCCTTCTTTGAAGGGTTCATAACATTAGTCTAAAATTCTAAATCCTCGAGGCTAGTTTGTTTTTCTTTGTTTGTTTGTTTTTAAATTTCAGGATAGTTTAGACTTTGGGAAGATGGCAGACTGCATAGTCAACATGCTGTGTAAAAGACCACAGCAGTCAAGGCAGCCCCCTATAATCCAATGTACTAAGATATCTGCAGTGACAAATGTGAATCTTCATGCTCGTGAATGAATGAGAGCTACAAGCAGCAGCTTGAGCCAGATTTCGCTGCTGAATGAGTTTGATAAGGATTGCTTTTGGTTTCTAGAGCTTTGTGAATCCTGAGATGGTGCAAGGGATAATGGTCTCGGGAATACTTGCTTTTCTTTGAAAAACAAAACAAAAAACCCAAAAAACCTGTTACTTGATAAGCAGAGAGAGAGAGAAGGAGAGCGGAACCTCCCATTGGCTGATTAATTCCCCAGATGGCCCCAACAGGTGAAGCTAGACTAGGCCAAATCCAGGAACCTTGCCATGGGGTCTGGTCTTCTGCATTGGTGGGAAGAGCCTGAGTCCTTGAGCCATTTGCTGCCTCCCCTGGGCTCATCAGCAGGAACATGGAGCAGAAGCTGAGCTACCAGGACTCAAACCAGCACTCAGATATGCATCATCATGCCAGCTCCTCCCACTCCCTACCTCTTTTCTTTTTTTGTCACTTGCTGGGTGAGGATTGGTGAGGATAGCGATTGGTAGTTTTCATAATTTTTGACATCAGCTTATTTCCCATGAGCATTTTTAGAAGACTCTTCTCTAATATCATATATATGTATATTTATATCCATGTTGTTTAGCACAGGCTTTTTCCCAAAAGGTAGCAGAAGTGAACAGTAACAGTTAAAGTATCTCCTCCCTCTTTCTCCACAGTACATTTCCTCTTTCATCTTCATCATGGGTATGAGATGTTATTCCTTACACCCAAACTGTTGTCCATGTAGGGCTAATTCTTGTGGTCCTTAAGCCCCAATGGCTTCCAGACTAAGTACAGATAAGACTTACACTGCAGGGATTCTAACCTTATGGTTAACAAAAGAGAAAGGCTACAGGTGCCAGACACTGTGCTATACTTGGCCTGTATCATTGTAACTGATGCTCACAACCTACTCTGCACAGGAGATGGCATCCCCATTTTACAGAAAATCAAGACTCAGCTACAGCAAGTGATTTGTGGAAAGCAAACAGAAGACCTAGTTTTTAAGCCCATTTTTTTCCATCTCCCTAAATGTTCCATTCTATTTGCTCCTTTAGTGTGATAGTCTGATTCCACAGGACCCATTCAAAGTTTATCTGCACCTCTATTGCAATAACTGTTTCTAGCTATATATTTGCTTATCTGTTGGTAGAGGACTTCACAAATTGGCCAGTGTAGCTGGGTGGCCTAGATTCTTCCCCAGTTACTTCCACTCTTTCGGAAGCGCTTCACGACTGTCTGCCCATCTCTTTGTTCTGAGCACTTGGAGTTGTGGCCACCTAAGCTTGTTCTCCAAGGGTTTAGCAATGTGAAGGTCAAGAACTAGAGCCCACCTGCTACTCCTTATTTTAACAGCAATAATGCAAGTCTTCCAGGTAATGTCCTAACTAAGCTATTCAGTTTCATTAACTTCCACCCTACTCCCAGGGGGAAATTCCTCAGCCTCTTTGTGACTCACTTTTCTTATGTTTAAAATGGTTATAATAATGCTATATCTCTCAAGGGGTTATTATTATAGGGATTCATATTATAATCTTTATGCTTAGAGCTACACATTGATTAAGAAACCAAGAATATTATAGGTTGTGTGTGGTCAGGTTAAACCTCAGCCTGAAACATTGATCTCTTACTGGATCTGGTTTGAGACCTAGCTACTTTACCTCCTATACAGCTTCCCATTAATGGCTTGGGAAAGCATCAGTGGTTGGTCCAGGACCTTGGGTACCTGCACTCACATGGGAGACCTGGAAGAAGCTCGAGGCTCCTGGCTTCGGATCAGCCCAGCTCCGACTGTTTCAGCCATTTTGGGGAGTAAACCAACAGATAGAAGATCTGTCTCTCCTTTTCTCTGTAATTCTGCCTTCAAATAAAAATAGATAAATCTTCAAAATACAAGAAAAGAAACCAGAAATGTAAAGTGAACAGCTTCTTCAAAGCTGTACATTTGTGTGGAAATCTCCCTTGATTGTTACTAGAGAGAAAAGACTTTTGGGATTTAAGGTTCATTCCCTTTCTTTCTGCAAGATGAGAAGCAGAATTGTCTGCAGAAGGATCCTGAGGAATCTGACATACAGTAGGTGCTCAAGAAGTATTTGCTGGTCCATCTTGTCTTAAAGCTTGGTGTCCGCATTGTTAAAAGGAACAAGTCTAATGTATAGAGCTCAATGCAATTGCCAGTTTTAATTAGGATTAGTGCATCACTTCCCCACTAGGATATTTGAGAGTTCCAGACACGCCCTAATTATTGCCAACACTATTTTCCCCTAGTCTTTTAGAAAAGTGTTTATTTGTGAATAGTTCTCCATACATATGTACATTACACTTTAATAAAAAGTTTGGAAAGTAATAAGACAAGTTATAATTTTTGTATCTAGCACTGAAATAAATCTGGATATTTTGTTGACATCTATCAGCGATCTGATAGTTAAATGTTGCTGTCTTTCATTTATGCATGCTTATTTTACATCATTTAGAATAATGTAGGTTTATTTTATAATATTTAGAAATATTAAATAGTTAGACATTGGGATTTAAAAAAAGAAACAGTATTTATTTGAGAGGCAGAGAGAGAGGAGAGAAGAATTCAGGCATGTTCCAATACAACATCTTAAAATCTAAGCCAAATGTCTGCTCTGGAAGGTATTATTTCTGGGGGAAAAAAAATCTAGCTAAAGTTCCCTGGAGAAGTCTTTGCATCTCCATTTCCATTTTAATGTTGGTTGGTTGGAGGACTTGAAATGTTTGGGCAAGAACTTACAGGTTTTCTTTTCTCTCCTTTCAGAGCACAAATGTCCAGTGGATGAGCGGGAACAATTGGAAGAAACATTACCTTTGGTTTTGGGGCTGATCTTGGGCCTTGTCATTGTGGTAACGCTGGTAATTTATCACATCCACCACAAAATGACAGCCAACCAGGTGCAGATCCCCAGGGACCGGTCCCAGTACAAGCACATGGGCTAGGGCCCATTCTGCAAGCCTTCTCCTCCACTGGATCAGGTTAAAACACATGAGCACTTTTCACCTTTACACAGGATACACCAACATAGCTACAGTCAAACAGGCCTGGGTATTCGAGTCTTGCTTGGCCTGCATCCATGCTTTAGCCCAGGGAGGGGAGGGATATCTTGGATTCAACTGCTCTCTCCATGTTGGGGAGTAGAAGGGGAAGGGGAGAGCCAAATTTGATGTCTGTGGAGGCCTGACTTTCACTCTTCCAGGGTACAACACATGTTGCTTGGCAGAGCATCTGGGCCTGAAGTTCAAGGACTGAACACTGGACACACACCTTTTTTTGGGGGGGAAGAAACCCCTTTGGGTTGAGGGGCTGTTTTTCTCCCTTGGACATAGCTGGCTTGCCCTATACTGTTGCCAATGCACACACAACACAACCTCACGCTCCCTGCGGCAAGACCCCTGAACGTGACCCATGCTTCTGGCTGGCGTTCTGCATGTCTAGTGATTGTCTTGGGAATGTTTCACTGCTACCTGCACCCAGTGACTTTGCAGCACAAGAACTCGTTCAATGTAACTATGCAGAGTTTTTGGACGTATCATAAGTCAGGCCCGAGTAAGGGAACCTGAAGTTTCAATCCCTGTGAGTTTGTTTTTCAAAATGAATTAAAATCCACTACTCTCTGGCCTGTGACAGCTTTCTTTCTTTCTTTTTTTTTAAGATTTATTTATTTTTTTTTAATTGGAAAGGCAGATATACAGAGAGGAGGAGAGACAGAGAGGAAGATCTTCCGTCCGATGATTCACTCTCCAAGTGACCACAATGGCCTGTGCTGCGCCTATCCGAAGCTGGGAGCCAGGAACTTCTTCCAGGTCTCCCACATGGTGCAGGGTCCCAAGGCTTTGGGCTGTCCTTGACTGCCTTCCCAGGCCACAAGCAGGGAGCTGGATGGGAAGCGGAGCTGCCAGGATTAGAACTGGCGCCCATATGGGATCCTGGCGTGTTCGAGGTGAGAACCTTAATCACTACGCTATCGAGCCGGGCCCAGTCAATGTGGTTTTATTTACATTTAAAATTTATTTTAGGAGACAGAGAGACAGACAAATAAAAAGAGATCTCCAAACCACTGGATCACCCCACCCACACCCAGAACCAAAAAAGCCTGGGTTGGCTAGACTGAGTGCAAGAGCCAAGATTGGAGTTCTCTGATGTGTGGCAGAATCTCAGCTACTTGTACTAGCACCTGCTGCCTCCCGAGGTAAACATTAGCAGGAACCTGGAATGAAGGAGGGAGACCAGAACATGGATCCAGCAGTCTGATGTTTATGTCTCCAGCAGGGCCTTACATATCAAGCGAAGCCAAATGCCCACCTTCCAAGGGGTTTTAGTAATGGCACCTTGTGGGTGATGCGGCTAATGTTGCTTCAGATGCTTCTTGGTCTTGCACTTGGCATTTTCCTTTGGAGAGTGTGTTGGATATGGCAGCCTAGGTTGAGTTTTTTTGCAAGTGAAATGTAATTCATTGATTTTTACCCATTTGATAGACTGTGCTTTTCAGAAGGACAGAGAAGAGCTGGGGGGCTCTGCCCCTGTGCCTTGCAGAATCTGCTGCGGGAGAAGCAGATCTGGCCAGTGTCCCCCAGGGGCAGTTCTGTTGCCCATGTGTTGGTTCCTTCCCCAACCTCAATCTTCTCCTGTGTGAGAGCTGTCTTCAATGAGAGAAAATCTCCACTTTCTCACCAAAGTTCCCCATTGTTGCCAAAGCAGTCATTCACAGTGTGGGTGGACACTCCTATCCTTGAGCAGGGTTGATTCTATTCTCTCCCTCTCTAGCCCCACCCCACATCCCAAATATGTTTTGAAAGTCAGGGTTATGGACAGAGGGGAAGAGAGATCTTTGATGCACTGGTCCATTCCCTGAAATGACTGCAATGGCAGGGGCAGGCCAAAGTCACAACCTAGAGTTCCATTCAAGTCTCCCAGGTCAGTGTAGGGGCCTAAGGATTTGGGACATCATTTTCTGCTTCCCCGAGTACGTTAGGAGAGAGCCGGATGGGAAGTGGAGAAGCTGGGACTTGAGACAGTGTTCATGTGAGACGCTAGCATTGCAAGCAGCAGGTTAGTCCTCTGCACAACACTGGTCCCTGATTCTAGTCTTTTACTCTTGTATGACCTTCTTCCTCCCACGCTCCAAACTTAACAAGGCATTCCCAATTTAACAGATTATATATTTTAAAATCATACATATGTATATAGGTGTGTGTGTGTGTGTGTACGTATATATAATTGGAAGCATCCAATGAATTGAGAAGTAGATACTTTGAACTCTCCTTTGAACTCTCCAGGACTTTGTATATATGTATCATTCTTTTCTGTAATTCCTGTAGAAAAAATAAGCTTAGGTCCTTCTGAATCGTAACTTCTGAAAACTGTCCCTTTTAAAGCTTGTTTTCATACAACAAGGCTTATTGTTAGTTCCAGAAATGTTATTAATTCCTGTATTCATAAACATGGACTTGGCTCACCAGCTGCTGTGGGGAACAGCTTTCTGAGTGCAGGCTCTATGCTGAGTCTATGCTTGTAAACTTGACAACACATCATGGGAGGGAAACGGGTACCCACAAACCTGCCATGTGGCAAAGAACAAAGGCCCTGGACTCTTTCCAAATGTTGAGAGAGGGCCAAGTCCCCATGTCCTAGTTCTCGAATAGCATTGTTGCGAAAATCAAGTTTTTCATCCTCAGAATTAAGAGTGACAAGGTGCGTGACTGCTATGAATGACACATATTTTTATTGTCATCATTGTCATGTCCCAGGTCATCTTTATCCAGCTACCCACTCAGCCCAATTTCCTTTGAGCCTGGCCTTATTTCTCTTAGCCCTCTTTTTATGATGCATGGAGCAACGTAAGGGGCCTTCAGGAGCTAGAGCAGGAGTCGTCATCTCTCAGAGTGTCTTTGTCTGGGATTCTCCTGACTCCAGGGATCGTGAAGGACTGAGTCAACTCTGCGTCTGCTCTGGGACCTGTGCAATGCCACAGTCCTGCATTCTGCAGCTACCCTGAGGCCAGGAAAGGCTGGTGCAGTGGCTCAACTAGCTGTTTTGCTTCCCAAGCTTGCAGACAGAAAAAAGAACAACCAGGCTGCAGATGCTCAATTACCCTTTTAACAATCATTTTTCTTTTATACTGGAACTTCAACACAAATGCCTCTGGGCACAAAAGGATGCTGTGTCTGCTGGCTGAATCCGCCTGTATGAAAACGCCAGGCCACGGAAAGCCATGTACATATTTCTGGGGACAAGATGATTCCTTGCAGATTCTGCCACTCCTCAGAAACAGTCCCCTGGGAAATTACTGCAAACGCAGATGGATACGGGCTTCTCCCCTGGAACCTGAGAAAGCCCTTCAAACTATCACCACGTCTACTCAATTGTCCAATCTTTCCATCAGCAAAGACTTGGCAAATCTCCACTGGCATGGGAGGCTCCGAACAAATCAGAATGAAGAAAGGGCAGAGCAGACAGTGGGTGGCTCACTTCCAGTGAAACAGCCTGCTCTGTGCAAGGGGGGTTTTAGTGATAGGATGGTCCATGCTAGCTTTCGGCATAGACACTTCTATTGAACAAACACCAAGTGATCCCGGTCACCTAGACACAGCCTGCAATCATGGTGTCTCAAATGGCAGTTGGCTGACAGCCTCCTTGAATCCCTGTAAATATTGATATGTTTATTTGAAAAGGGGTAGGTAATAGAGACAGGCATGAGAGACAGGGCAGGGCCAGGCTGTAGCCTGGAGTGAGGAACTTCATCCTGTGTTGTGGGTATCCAAGGCTTGGCCCATCCTCAGCTGCCTTCCCAGGCACCTTCACAGAGAACTGGATCAGAATTGAAGCCTCTGGGACTCGGACTGGCACTCAGATACGGAATGCTGCCTTAGCTCACTGCACCGCATGGCCGGCCCCTGCCGTGGACAGATATCGGTCTTAGCATCCTTACCAATAGACTGAGAATCTGCACGGTGAGATCCTAAAATCTGCAGTTTGATTAATTTCTTGAGGTAACATCTTGATAGTACAATTCTCTTTTTTAGTGAAATAAACTCTGAATCGGTATGGTGCATATGAGTGTAGAGATCTAACTGAGGAACACTACATGAACCTTGGGGGTGTTGAAATGGGCATGGGTTGGGGGGGTTGGGGCATATCTCTCATGTCCTACTTTGTATTTTTCCCCTTGTTTATATATACTTATTTCAGAAATAACAATATAAATTATGGCATCAAAAGGGCTTTGGAGGCAGCAGATGATAAATGTTCTTAAAAATAGTAGGCTAGCTTCTCTCCTCCACTCACAAACCTGAAAGGACACAGGGAGGGCACCATCGGTACAAAATCTGCTGTAAAATATTTCTCAGGACACTAAGGAATCCATCTCAAAGACCCGAAAGGCTAGTAATGCCTCTATATTTTCAGACTGTGTTTTAAATGATATGTTAAAATTAGGGCTTTTGTAACTCTAAGAAACACTCAAAAGGAAGCACTAAAGACTTCAATGAAAATAGCAAGTAATGCTACAGAGTGTTGCTATACTTTATTAACAATTGGCCCTATGCTTTAATTACTTCTGTGAATAAAAGTATAATGTTTCAATGGAAAAACCCCATCAGAAGTTGAAAAACGCCCTCCACATTTTTGCTCTGACCCAAACTGGACACAAATAATTCATACACTAGTCAGACACAAATGGTCATATAACAAAATCCTGAAAGGAGTATGGCAAGCTAACCAGGGCATTCATAAATTGAACTTGTAGAATTGCCATCTTCTGTAGTCCCATGCACCACAATACACCATGACACTGGTAAATTTGGTGCAATACTCAGACAACTTCTGGTAAACCAGTTGTTTCAGGGGGTGCATATGCAATATATCCAGATGGTTGGGGCGTCTCTCTTTGTTCATTTTCTCATTTGAACATGGGCGCTCACTCTGCCATCATGCCTACATTACTTGAGGATTCACAAAACTTTTTCCTCCCTGTGTGTCTGGTGCACTGGAGATGCTCCACAAACAGCATTATAAATGTCATTGTCTACACAATTATCAGCAGGTGCTTCCCCATGGTACTCACCAAGAAAGAGCCAAAGAGACATGCAGGATTTTGCAGCGCTGCACTGAAAATTTTCTGTGTGAGTTTTGAACTCAGAGTATGCTTATCTCTCAGAGGCTTTCCCCACCCTACACTCCCAGTCCAGTAAACCACCCAGGGAGTAGTCAATGTGGACATGGCAATATCGTCAGAGTTCAAGAACATGGACAGCAATGCAGTGCACCTTCAGTTTTTACTAAATTGTTGCAACTAGGAATCACTGTAGCATAAGTGGGGTCTGTGAAATCCCCTTGCACTGGTGGGGATAGGTCAAAAGTCATGTATACTCTGAATGATGCTAGATAGTAGACTCATCATAAGATCTTATTATTAAAAGCATTATAACCACAAATTAATGTTTGAGATCTATCATTGCTTTTCTATGTACACCTCTAAGTTCAGACAGCTATGAGCTTCAGGGTTAACAGTGACTTCAGTAGTCATTTCAAATGACTGAGTTTGACAGTCATCTCTGGGGAGTCTCACCAAGACCCTTGTGACAAATGAGATTGCTAGTGGCATGAACACTGAACCCACACATTCTAGATCTGGATCTGGGTTCAGGGAACTGGTGTCTCTGTGTGTACGTGTGTGTGATATCTAGTTCATTTCTACAATGAATATAATGTCACTGCCTAACTTTGAGGACTGGGTTGCCTCAGTTAAGGCAGAACATGTAAAACCCTAAAGTTTGGGCTGGCTCATTGGCTCAACTGGTAATCCTCCATTTACTATGCCAGCATCCCATATGGGTGCTGGTTTGTGGTCTGGCTGCTTCATTCCCATCCGGCTCCCTGCCTGTGTCCTGAGAAAGCATTGGAAGATGGCGCAAAGTCTTGGGACCTGGGACCTGCATGAAGACCCAGAAGTTGTTCCTGGTTCCTGGCTTCAGATCAGCTTAGCTCTGCTTGTTATGGCCATCTGGGAGTGAACCAGTGGATGGAAGATCTTCTGTCTGTCTCTCCTTCGCTTTGTAAATCTGCCTTTCTAATAAAAATGAATAAATCACTTTAAAAATATTTCAAAGTACTTTTTAGCTTTAAGTTTAAAAAAATGCTGACAATGATGGAGCATAACGATCCAAGTTTTTGCTGTGAATGAAAATTCTTTCAGGATCAAAAAATCTCTTTGTTTTGAAAACATTTTGTCCAGAAGTCAGCAGCCTGTAGACTTTCTAACTCCTCCATTATTCCTCCATTAGGCCTATTCTGAAGGAGGCATTCCTTGTCTGAATCCCACCCATGTCAATGCAGTCATTCTTGGGCATCATTTGCAGACAGTACCAATCCAAAGCCTATCCATGTCTCTTTGTCATTGGAACTCGATGTGCAGGGTAAGGTGGCAGTTTTGGGGCTTCATGCCTGAGGAACTCTCAGGCAACAAGTGACAGGAGATGGCAGAAAAATATCCCAGCATCCATGTGCTGAGGAGGACAATTATAAAGTGTCTTTAAGAAAGTCTCCAGTGGGCCCCAGTTGCCCACAGCGGTCACAATAGCGCGCACACACACACACACACACACACACACACACACAATATCACATACATATGCATGTGTATATATATGTAAAACATTTTTATTTTCTTCATCTTATATTTCTAGTGTGCTCTTTGAGCTGTCTAGGATCATATTCTAACATCTAAACTCTTCTTTGGGCCAAACCCACATTGATGTCTTCATCGGGCTTGGAAACCAGCTTGAAATGTGCTTATTTCAAGGCCTAAGGTGACCCATGCTTGGGGACAATGTGAATCTGTGCAGTATCATTTACTCTCACAAGATTTCTCCCACTTGTACATTCTGTATCTGCTTCAAACTCAATCAATCATTCTCTCTTCCTGGAAACTCATTATACATTGTGCTACTCATTTGATTTGATCAAGGAGTCTGAACTCATTGAGTTATTAACTTCATGGAATGGTTTTATTTTCTAGTAATTGATATGGATTATGTTCTGCCCAGTGGATAACAAGGACACAAACCTTACTCAACCTGATTTCATTCATCTAATCCAGGTTTATAAGATTCTAACTCTTGAGCTAGGATTATGGCATAGCAAGGAAAGCCACTGCCAGGATACCAGCATCCCAGGTGGGTCTCGGATTACGTCTGGGCTATTCCAGCTGCCATTCACCTAGGAAGTCACTTGCCCAGGTCCTGCTAATGGTCTGGGAAAAATAGCAGAGGATGGCCCCTGCACCCATGAGGGAGATCCCGACGGAGCTCGTGGTTCCCACCTCGTGGCTCTGGCCTGGTTGTAGCCATCTGGGATGTGAACAAGCAAATGCAAGAGCTTTATTTATTTCTACTTCTCTCTGCAACTCTTTCAAATACATCAATAGCTTTTTTTTAAATCTCATTTTCCTTAAAAAAAAATAGTACTTTTTCCTTTGCTAAGGCTGAACTTGTAGCAGTAAGCCCTTTTTTTGGTAGTGGAGAGGGAGTGCTATGATACCTGGTTGGCTTTATTACATCCAGAACGTAGTTTATATATTTTATTCATAGTGGTATTTATGTCACAAGGCGAGTCTATTTGTGACCCCTGGTGTAGGAATATTTGTTTTTAGCTCATGCCATCTTGACATTACATGTAACATTGCCCCAATGCACTCATATTCTCTAAGGTCAAGAAATCATGTCTGGTTTCACGAGAATGTAGATTCACAAAATCATCAGTTTCCAGTAACACAATGGGGAAAAGGCAAACAATTATTTTTATTTGCAAGTGCAGTTTCTGCCAATAGTTAATGCTCACAAAAACCTCTTAAACTACAGTAACTTTTGGTAAATTCAATGGATACTTAAAAAAAATGCCCAGTGATAATAAAAGTACAGAAAAGTTTTCATTCCACTGTCAAAAATGTTTGGAATCCAAATATCCATTATTTTCTGCAATTTTTTTAGTGTTTATTCCAGCTTAAAAATGTTTTTCTTATTCTACTTCTACATAGATCTGGTTAAATTAATAGTATCTTTTTCGTGAATCTTAAGGACTGCCATTTTCTGGATTTAAATTGTTTCATTCTTACATATTTATATGAACACTTTAATATTTTACATAAAACACTGATTTGCTATATTTCATGAAAAATTATAAATTATATTTCTGGCGAGGCATTTCCAGTTTGGGAGAAAACTGGAAATCTAATCAGCAGAAGGTCATCTTATGCCTTTTTTTCCTTTTTAGTTATAATAAATAATTAGCAACCCATTACTTACAAAAATTGTTAATTATGCTTAGAGCAACCAGAGAATTTTCACAGATTTAAATTCATCTTTGTTACAGTATGTGAAGTCATTAAGAAAAGCCTCTGGTTTTCCAGTTTGGTAACAAATGGCTTTTTGTCTGATGCATAATTAAAAGAAACTGATGTTGACTATGTAACTCCTCCAGAGTTTTAAAGGCAAATCTATATTGGCCTACAGGTAACATGCAAAGTCATCCAACAAGCAACACAAATGTATTGTAGTAGTCATTCGTTTTTTATCAACATTCAAGAAGATCTAGACAGCAGCACAGCTCTCCTAGGATGGAAACACATTGTAACTTGGTCACAACTGGAGTCAGATCAGAGCTGGTTAAAAAACCCCCTCACTAGTTCATCCTCAGGTCCGTTCAGACTTCCTGCACGATACATGAACAATAGCAATGAATACTGTGGTCCATAGGGAAATACAGACAAGTGTTTGGCGTGCTAGCATACGGTTTTATAGACAATGACGACTGAAACCAAACATCTTGCCCTGTTTACCCCCTCTCCTTTCTTGAGGTTGAAATTCTCATGGTCTCACTCAGACATTCAATGTGGGGAACTGAGTCCATGATCTAGCACTGAATTACTCCCTGGGAGAAAAATCTGGCCACTAGGGGACGCTACACCTATCTGAGAGAGGGTACTGAGAAGAATAGCCTGGTGTGCAGAAAAATAGTTTGCTCCTGGAAGCCTGGAAACAAAACGTGATTTTTTTTTTTGAAACATCTAGCCTTATCCCCAAGAGTTGCTGCATGGTATACTGTGGCTCAAATTTCATGTCATTTATTTTTGGTTGGGTAGATGAAATGTGCACACCATCACTCTTAATTCTTCCATCACATAAGACACTTGTTAAGGTAAGAAAGATATTCTACTAAAGCTGACGGTGACTGAGAGTCATTCAGTATCCAAAGTTCCTAAAGAATCGTTGGTTCTCTGAAAGGGATAAAAAAGTAGGAAAGGCTTTGTTCAAACTCCCGCTAGTAAACAAGTAGTACTTCAACCAATACAATGGCTACATGACATCAGAGTACTATAAATTATCAAAACTATCGTACAGAAAAGTTACAAATTCATTGCAAAATACATTACACGGATACCATTAAGAAAAAAAGTGCTTTTTTGTTTTCCTTCCTTCCTTTTTTTTTTTTTTTTTGCCAGAAAAGTATTCTTTCAGTATAGAAAATCCTACATGTTACCCTGCATGTGGCTAGGATATGTCATAACGGAGTTTGCACTGAGTCCTTCGGATTGCTGGATGAAGGGCTGAAAAATATAACGACTTAGTAATGCCATGCTCCCAACGACCACTTGGCTGTCAGCGGAGAGACGCCTATTTAAGACACAAGAGGACGCCCTGGTCTGCCAAACCCTGCCGGTCGTCACACTGCCCCGCCCATTAGCTGGTCTGGAATGCACAGGCCTTTTGCATGTTCTATGGTTTCCTCATGCTCTCCTGAATTATTCTCATGTCCTCGACTGGCTCTGTCACCTAGAGGAGGTCTCTGCTCAATGATGCCGGTATTGTCTCATGAGGGGAACGATGCAAGATGGTGGACCTGCCAGTTTGAGGAATGGATGGCCAAGGAGTTCCTGGGCTGTGGCTCTCTGAGAGGGCTCCCGCACGAGCATCAGGTCGAGGAATCCCCGGAGCACTGAAGAAATCTGTAAAGACACAGAGACACTGTTCTCAGGATGAACCGGCAAATATAGGCCAGTTAATCTCCTCAGTAATTCAAATCCCATACATCCGGTCACCAGTAAGGAGGGGGATATTACCCAACACAACCATAAAGTCTGTCCTTACCATGTTACAATATTAAACAATAGGGACAAATAATGGTGCTAGTACAGATGAAAACACATTTACTAAATCAAATAACATCAACAATACAAATGAGTAGTCCTGTTCCATGTACAATAGTGCTGCCCAAACATTTGATGGCATGTGAACAAGCTGTAATTTGTCTAGCACACTCATCCATATTAGCTCTGGAGAATCCTCTTTTTGGCAAAGAAATATGCCTCTCTAAGGGTACCAGACACAGATCACACTTCCAACTTTATACGTCACTGTTTCTGGATGCAGCTTACATAAACTCAAGTGCATAAATACTAACTGAAGGCCCAATAGATTTTTGACAGATTTTTTTTTTTTGCCTATTTGTTCTTCACCCTTATCAAGACCCAGAACATGTCTGCCACCCCGGAAGACTACTTTGGGCTCCCATTCCTGCGATTCCTGTGTTCTTGAAAATTCCACCACTATCCTAATCTCCAATAGCATAATTTTGCTTGTTTTTGTATTTTGTAGAAATTGACTCATACACTATGAACACTTCTCCGTCTGGCCTCTGTCATTCACCCTTGCATCAGTGAGAGCTTTTATCCCTTTCATCACTAGGTAGTATCCACTGACCAATCACACCTTTTGGGAAACAGCCTTAGACACTTTCTAGTCTTTGAGAATTAGGGAGAAAGTTGCTCTTGTATATGGCTTTGAAAGGTGTTGGCATTATGGATGAGTTTATACACAATGTTTTCTGTTGCTTTTTGTTATTTAAATGTAGTCCAACCAAGTTTTCACTCTGGAATCCAAGCAATCTATTTTTTTGAATTTACAATTTCAACATCTATTTGAAAGACAGAGTTGGAGAGAGATACAGATAGATAAGGAGAGAGAGAGAACTAGATCTTCCATTTGCTGGTTCACTTGCCAAATGATCACAATGGCCAAGGGATGCTGGGCCAAAGCTAGCAGCTTGCAGCTTGGATCTTTGCATTCACAAGGGAGACTTGGAACCATCTGGCTCTGGCTTCAGCCTGGCTCAGTCCAGGCCATTGAGGCTCTTTAGGGAGTGAATCTGTAGATGGAAAATCTCTATTTCTTCCACTCTCTAATTCTGCCTTTCAAATAAATAAAATAAATAAAAAATGAAAATAAAGAAAAAAACCCAAATCAACAACCAAGAAGAAGTTCCCAGCATTCGACATTTGCTCAATGTGGGAGTGCTGATGGAGCACCTGACTGATTCTTCCACAGTACTTTCTGAGCAAGGAACTCTACTGCACAGATGCAGACCTCTGGAGTCAGAGAGGTGGGCATACGCAGTGAAATGTTGGAAAATGAGAGATCTGAATAGCAGTGGCTAGTTCCAAAATCACAGAGAACTTGGAGAAAAGTCCGACAGCTTGCTGGACTTAGCAATGGATGGCACTTCTTACCTTGTGTAGGTCCTTCACTCTCGGGGGTAAACTGTCACGGATCCTCCGCATTGCCTGGAGGGGAGGTTCATTGAAGTAGGGGGGCTCGCCATCAATCATCTCTATCACCATGATCCCGAGGGACCAGATGTCCACCTGTTATGCACAACCCAAGCAAGGAAGAGATTCCAAACTGTTTGCTATGTCCATGGAACCCAACTCATTTGTACATCTTCAACAGTTTATATGGTGTTTATGACCTCTCAAAATGTGTAAGATTGGACATTAGGCCTATTGATTAAACTGCCTGCTGTGATACCCAACTCCCCACATTAGAGGGTGTCTGTTTGGATTCATGACCCTCGAGCCTGACTCTGGTTTCCTGCCAATGCAGAACCTGGAATGTGTCAGGTGACACCTCAGGTGGTCAGGCCCTTGTCACCCATATGGGAGAGCTGGACTGAGCTTCTGGCTCCTAGTTTTTACCTGGCCCTATCACAGGTGTTTGGGGACAAACCTGAAAACTGGGAGCTCTTTTTGCCCCTCTATCTCTGTATTCCAAATTTGAAAAAAAATTGATGTATATGCTAATTTGTTTCATTTTTGAATTTTGGCTAATGGTCTTTATTTGCCTTTTAAAGACAGTTTCAATGAATAGCCCACCAATTAAGTATACATGAATATCTTAATATTCTGAAGCTTATGATTTTAATTTTTATCCTACTAACTTCATTGATAAATTGTCTATTAAGGCAAATGAGAAGAACATTCTAAGCTTTATGTTATAAAACCATAAAAGAAAGTTTCATTTAAAGTGTAAGAAAACTTATCTAAACTATAAAATGCTATGCAGCATAGTACAGAATATATTCTGGTTCTTTCAGCAATTTTATTCTTAAAAATACTTCTTCTGCTTCTGTTTTGGGATAGTTAGCCTTGTGTTTTAAAATCAATTTGATGCAGTGTGTATGAAACCTTGCTTTATAAAACCATTTTCAGGGAATAGAGAGATGGCAAAGAAGATATGACAAGCAATTCTTGGAGTAAAAATAAATAGCCAGGGTGATGAGATGCCATAACTGAACCATAAATTTCCAGTTCTAGTCACTTCCTTGTTAGGACCTCATTACAGTTCTTATCTTTTTGCTACATTTAGTATTACACCCCTGACAATGACCTTCACTGGGAATTTGTCTCTCAGAACCACAATGAGAAAAACAAGCAGAGGGCTCATCTAAGGTCAAGTCAGCAAATTATGCACTGATTCTTCACTCACTGATGCATGCTCTATCTCCATGGCTTCTTCCATCTTAAAATCACCATCCACACTGCCATGTGAGAAAACACCAGCCCCACCACAATGAACTTCTTGGCTCTCCTGCATCTGCAGCCTTGGATGCCTAAGACTTTCTACTCGTGTTATTCCCTGCCTAGAAGGTTTGTGTTCTACTCCTTCTGGCCCCTCATTTTTACATATCCCAAGCTCTACCTTTCAATAGATTATTAGTAATCCTTTCTTTTCCAAGGGAAACAAACTGGGCCATTGTTTTTAGTAGATCATAATCATATATGCTTTTTTCCCAACAAGATGACATTATTCATTCACCTATTACCTCTGAGGTCCTTTCTCTCAGGTCTATTCTTTGAATCATCTTATCTGCCAATCTATGTGGATCTGGTTACTATGCAAGGCATATTGACTTACTTTGTATGGCCTACCACCAAGAACGAAATCAGCACCAGAGTGATGCCTTTCACTGTCCACTGTAGGACCACAGTAAATAACTCCGGGATAAATACAGAGGCGATGTCCTCAGTTGTAGCCAGTCTCCCTTCTGCAAACAATCTACCCCATGTCAGGACAAGACAGGGAAGATAGGGCAGGGTCGGGTGGCAGGTCCAAAGTCTTTGTTCTGCTCTCCAGTCACCACCTATCTCATGACCACTGTGCCCATGAGCCTGTCCCAGGCCCTACCTTTCTCAAGCAATGGTTTCACCACTTTACCTCTGTCCCATAAGGTAGCCTAGAAATCACCTCCGGTGCCATCCAGTAGGGAGTGCCAACCAATGATTTCCTCTTCGGCACCTCTTTGGACACTTGAGCACAGAAACCAAAGTCAGATAACTTTATCTGAAAAGGAGAGGAAAGGAACAAGCCATCAACTTGAAAGTATCATCTGCTAGACACAGAAGTAAATATAGGGTTTCAAGGTCCAAACGTAAGAGACATGAACACCTATTGGAAATCTCACAGGAAGTGTGATCACTTTTATTGGAATAACAAAGTTCATTTTAGTGGAAAAACTTCTCACAGGTCCAACCAGGATTAACTTCTAAATGGCTAAACTCCTGCTGCTTATCTTCTATAAAATTATAGAACCAAAATCACAAGCTGTAACAAAATAGAAGTCCTAACATAAATTAAATACACTCACAATAACAAATACATTAAATTTTATTACCAACTTTACTGTAATAATGGATGTTTCAGTATAAGCAAATTGCTATTCACTGCAAATTTTGCGAAATTGCTACAGTGTCAGTTTTTTCGAGTTGAGCAGCTGGATTTCTATGTACCATGAGATGATGCAAGCAAGCATCCTCTTCTCTGTATTTGAAATACTTCAAGACTTTCATTTATACAGGATGCTGAGATTTCACTTCAGGTGTTACTCGTCATCCTTACCTCTTGGTTTTCACTCATGACAATTTTCCTTGTCCATGAAAATTGCAGTTGCCTTTGTAAACAACACAAGTGGAAATACAGACACAGAAACTAGGGGTTAATATGTGGTCATCAGGGGTTTAAGGCTATTATATAATGGCCCAAGATAAACACATATAATAATATAATAAAGGTGATTCATGTATCTTACATATTACTTAAAAAGGGGCTTTGAAAAACTCTTGCACAGAGTTTTTGTATTCTGAAGAATTTCCTTAAGAACTTGCAGCACTCTTTGGCACCTTTTCTAGTGGTTTATGTATTCCAGATGGTCAAGATTTGGTTAATTTCTGGGTGGTATAAATACTAGTTAGGGTGAACTGCTTTGATGTCCTAAGTGAAAAGGGCAGCTGTGACTACTTAGAGTTGTTGATGATGACAGGATGCAAAAGAGAATGTGTTTCAGGCATCACCTAGCAATGGCTCACAATGACCAGGTTACATGAACATTTTCTATAGAGATAAGGTGCAGTCTGCCATAATGCTCTGAACGTTATGTCTCAGCCTTGTTTTCAGGTTCTGTATTTGCTGCCCCTTTCTTGACTCTCAGGATCCCTCAGGTTTTGGTTCCAAACTCTTTTCTCTTTTTCATAACCTTGACACAGATGATTTGTCTTCTCATGCTTTATTAAGTGAGAGTCCTCTTTTCTATCCAGAATCCACACTTCCAACTACTGTATGTTTCCATACAAATGATCACAGGTATTTCCAATCAAACTCAGTGTCCTTTTGTCTGTTGCAAAATCTGACCCTGTATGTATTTAACCTTAGTTAATGCACTAACATCCTCACAGCTACTAACACTAAACTCATGAAAATACTGTCTGCTCTTCCTTTTATCCCACCTCAACTCTTCCTGTTTAGAGTAAAAACAAAACCAACACAACAAAAAACATCTTAGTGGCTTCATAGCCAAGTATAATACTAACTCATCAAAACCAAGGTTGTTCAATGCATGAATGAGTCTCAATTACAAGGACTGAAAAAGAGAGTAAGCCTATCAGTATTATTATGTTTAGGGAGATCTGATATAGAGATAAGTATCTCCCCCAGTGTGTTATTATGATAATCTTCAAATGTATAATAAAGTTTAAAGTATATACTGAATACCCCTATAATATCAAGTAGATTTTACAGATATTAACTGGACTTTCAGTATATACCTACTGTTAAAAAAATCATTTATTTTATTATTTTATGATAGTATTTTGCAGGCACTGGAATTTCCCTTCCACTTTACCTTAATCCACCCCTCAAATGATTTCCCCTATATCATTACAAGAGTATAGTTCCTCAAAAATAGTCATAAGTCCATCATTGAGGACACAGACAACGGCAGAGAGCCCAGCATTCTATTGTCAAGATATATTTAACAGTTTCATTGGGGTCCATCTTTGATTTGGAAGTACAGATGCATATTGCATTGCAGCTTCACATCTGAATATGATATTCTCTATTATATAGTTACTATACATCCCCTTAAATTAAAAAAATGCAAAATCAACAGCAGGAAAAATAGAAAATTTACAACAAGATGAAGCCAAATAACATGCTACTAAATGACCAATGTGTCACTGAAGAAATGAAAAATAAAAAACTTTCTTGAAGAAAATGATGCTATGTGTCATTGAAGAAGAAATTTTTAAGAAATGAAAATAAAAACAAAAAATATCAAAACCCATGAGATGTAGCAGAAATAGTATTGAAACATTTATAACATCAAGTGCTTATAAAAATCAAAATATCTCAAATAAACAATTTAATAACACATCTCAAGGACTTATTAAAAATGAACAAGAGGCAAGAAATGATAGAAATCATAGCAAAAAATAAAGGGAATTAAAACTAAAAGATGACAAATTGCAACAAGAAAGGGCCATTCTTTTAAGATGAGCAAAACAAACTTTTAGCCAGACTAGCAAAGAAAAGACAGAAAAACCAAGTAAAGTTAGAGATAACAAAGAAAACATCCAAGGTTCATATTGGTATGTAGTAATTTGGTTCTGTCAGTTTTATCAATCGGTTGTTCATTGTTTGATTTAGTCTACTTTTGTTGTTTTATTGGTACATTCTCCATATTTGCCTTTGGTTTTAGTAGGTGTTATTCCTTTTCTCTATCAAGAGAACACCCTAAGTATCATTTGTAGGGCAGAGGTGAATTCTTTGAGCTTTTCTTTACTGTGTCTTTCATTTTCAAAGAAAAAGGAAAGCTTTGCTGGGAAAGTTATTCTGGGCTGACAATCTTTTCCTTTTAGCATCTGGGATATGTCACTTCATTTTCTTTTGACCTGTAGAGTTTCCTCTGAGAGGTCAGCAGTGAGTCTGATTGGAATTCATCTACATGTAAATTGATTTTTTTCACATGCATGTTTAAGGATCTTTTATCTGTATTCAACTGAAGAGAACCTGAACAGCATGTGTGATGATGAAGATGGCTTTTGATCAACACTTTTGGGAGTTCTGTGTCCCTCCTATATATTGTTTTCCAAATCTTTCTCAATAATAGGGAAGTTTTCTTTTATTACTGCATTGAATACATCTTTAAACCCAGCTTCTCTTTCTGTGCCTTCTGGGACTCCCATAATTCTTATTTTTGGCATTTTAATAGCATCCCTTACTTCTTGAATACTTTTCTTAGTTTGACTCATTTCCAACTTTTTGACTTTTCCCCCACTGTTGAAGGAAATGTTTTCCAATTCTGAAATTCTTCTGCCTCGCTCATTCTATTATTGTGGCTGAACTTAGACTTGATCCATCGTGTCCCTCCTTTCTAATAATTCAGCCTGATTTTGTTTCAGTGTTGCTATTTCCTGTGTGACATATTCCTTAAATTCCTTGAACTCCTATATGTGCTTCCTGTTGTTAGAAGCTTTATAACAAGTTTTTAAAATTCTTTGTCCCCCAGCTCTTCGATGTGTTCCTCAGTTAACTCTGAGGTTGTCACAGGCTTTTGCTCATTTTAGACAGGGGTTATCAATAATGTTCATGTGTCCCCGTCTCTTCTTTTGATTTTGGCCACTGCTATTCTGGTTAGCAGATTCCTCTTCTTATGGCTAGTTCCTAAGCCACGTTGCTTACTGGTCTACAGGTTGATTTTACTGCTTATGTTCTGTACCTGGTTCTTCATTTGCAGTCTTTTGTGCCACTCCCTCCAGCAAGTTTCAGTCCTGGGCTCTTATGCTAGGCTTCCACCATAGTCTCCATGGCCCCAGCTCATGGCTCATCACTTTCCAATCGCTATGATCCTGTGCTATGGCAGTACCATTGCCCATACAGCCTTTCTCGCACTCCTGGTTCAAGCAGTGCCTGAGATTAGGGAGACAGCAACTGTTCTAAACCACTGGATTGTCAGGCAGTTCTAGTTTAGCGCAAAACTGCTAGCTGTTAGATCTGAAGGCCATGTGGATCTTCTTTGGGTGGAACCTGTAGGATGCCAATTAGGTACGATTTTCCCTGTGAGACCAGTGCAATGTGTTGAGCTGGAAGTGAGTTCTCTCCCAGCTTAATGTCCCTGCAGCTCTCTGTTGTTCCTTTAGCCCCACAGGAGTTTCCTCGGTACACGAAATAGCAGCTGATGTGGCACTGGTAGAGGTCTGGGTCTGTTGGTAATTAGGTCTAGAGGCCACATGGACCTATTTGGAATGGAACCTATATGATGCCAAGTTGGTACTGTTTTCCCTGTGGGACTAGTGCAGTGCATCAAGGTAGAAATGAGCTCACTCCTGGCTTATTGCACACACAGTTTGCTGTTGTCACTTCAGCCCCACAGGGGTGCCCAATGTGGCTTTGGTGGGGGTCTTTCCCATGAAATCCACTCTGTTCCTGTACTTGCCTGCTTGGGCTTTGCCACTCTGCTTCTGCTTGTTATTGAATCAGGCAAGTCAGCAGGATGGGCAGTTCAATGTCTGGGTTCATCTCCTGAGTTCCTACTGAACTCCCCTTCCCATCTGGCTGCTGGTGGAGCTCCACTCACTGACTCATCACCACTTGGAGATCTGATTATTGCAACCTGTTCTGCCATCTCTGCTGCTTCCCTGTGTCCGTCGGTCTCCAGGTGTCTCCTGACCATTGGCCTGTTCTCTCCTGTTTTCCAGGATCATGGCCTCTCTGCTTTACCCTGGCTAATGATTCTCCTGTTTAAGCGTGTCCTTACCCTATTCTGCCATTTTTTTTCCCTTTCTCAGGGAAAAAAAATCCCCTTGTCCATCTGCCAGTCCACATTGTTTTTGAAGCACATAAAATTTAAATTTCTGGCACCGGTATACCTCATTCTTAGGTTGGCATTAAGCAGAGAACAATTTTTATAGCTTACATAAAGTTTACATAGAGCAAAGTGCCTATATTTCAAGTGTATCTTACGGTAGTTTATATTGGTCACTTATTTAAAAGGAAAGGTAATAGGGAGT